GCTCAGGAGGGCTGGCCAGCTGAGTGGGGGAGGTTGACGTTGCCGGCGGTTACCCTTTCCTGCTCCCCGTCTGTAATCCCTTCCACCTCTCCACCCCGCACTCTCCTTCCCCGTGGAGGAACCTTGAGGCATCCCCACGATCCCCCGCACGAGCAGCAGCGCTAGCGCCCCCCCCCCCATTGCGATTAGGTGGAAGGGGTTGAGGGGCGGCTTAGAGCCAGGGTCTTAGCGGCTGCGCCCGACGGCACCCGGCGGGGGGGGGGGATCCGAACCTTTGGCGCGCGCACGTGGCGACAACTGGGACAGGGATAGCGCGATCTGATCCCGCTCCCAGCGCCCGGCGGCAACTCGGCACCCGCGGCGGGATCCAAGCATTTGGAGCGTTGCTATGCCGTTATCCCCCAACCCCACCCTCTCTCCCCCCAGCGACCGGGTGCCCAGAATTTAAGGTCTTGCTGACACAAACCACCCATGGCAGAAGGACGGTACATAAACAGTGTCTGCGCGCACTGAGGTGGTGTCGGGCTTTCCCGTCGGGGTGTGTCAGGAGGTGTCAGGGCGTAGAACGAGCAGTGGCCCCTCGGTGCGCACAAGACCACTTTCGGCTGATCGGCGTCAGCGGTAGGGTATCTCCTCGCCACGCCACGCCACGCGCGACGCGAGCCGGGGCCGGGGCCGGGGCCGGGAGATGCAAACCCAGGGTGACGCAGGGAAGGAGAGAGGGCGGCGGCTGAGGGAAAGGGGGTTTGCTCCCCCCCTCCCCCTCCACCATTACCCCCCAGCCGGGACGAAATGTGAGACCGTGGACACCGTATCGGCTTCGCTGTCACCTGTCACCCTGCCGTGTCCACCACGTCCACCGCGTTCGCCGCGTCCGCCCACCGGGCCACGGCCATGGTGTTGTGCCCGGTTCCGATCATACCTGTCAAAGAAGGCGGCTTCAACCCTCTCCTCTTACTTGGGCTCGGCTCCCCGCCGGCTCCCTCGCTCAAAGTCCTCCTCCCCTCGCCCCGACCCCTTCCTCGAAGTACTGCGCTGCCACCACTACAACCCCGGCTCAAGTCGCGGACCAGTGCCACACAAACCTAAACGACAATCTTGGCTCTTGGCAGGCGGCCTGAATGGATTGCTCACTGCCATCTCGACTGTGGATGGGAATTCTAATTTTCCATAAATGTATTGAAAACTTTTCAAAATTCTTAAACACGTCTAATTTTTTCCAAAGATATTTTTTTTTTCTGAAAAAATTGCAAAACTTTTGCGCCGCGCCTGGTGTTGCTGCACCGCCGCCGCCGCCCCTGGTGTTGGCCCCCCTGCTGCACCACCGCCGCCCCTGATGTCGGCAATACCCGGCCGATGATGCCATTGGGAGCCGGTCGAGCGGGTGGCTCTTTGTGTGGGGCCGCCGCCGCCCGATTGCGAGCTAAGTGGTGGTGGTGTCAGAGGGGCCGGGGAGGATGAGGACGAGCACGGGGCGGAGCAGGAGCGGTCCCCGGGGGCGCCCTTATCTGTGCCCGGTGCACGGCTGGCCGCGTTTGGCCCGCTTCGCCGCCCCGCTCCGCTGGCAGGTCAGCGCAAGCTCACATGAAGCGCCCGGTAGGTAGGCAACATCTCGCCTGCAGTGCGTGCGTGTGCCGCGGGGTGGCCTACCCCGAACCTCGCAGGCGCTTCCGTTCTTATGTTGATCTGAGAAATAAAACGGAAGCGCATGCACTTCCTGAACTTAATGCTCAGCAAGTAAGTGCCAATCATGCTGGTCGGTAATGGCGCCCGGTGGGTAGGCAACATCTCGCCTGCAGTGCTTGCGTGTACCGCGGGGTGGCCTACTCCGAACCTCGCAGGCGCTTCCGTTCTTATGTTGATCCGAGAAATAGAACGGACGCGCACTTTCTGAACTTACTGCTCAGCAATCATACCGGTCGGTACTAGAGCTCTGCCGACGCTGCTCGGCGCTCCTGCTCGACGTCGTGCTCCTACGGGTATATGACAACAACGGCGGTCGTGGCTCTACTGGACCGGAAGTGAAGGGGCGTGCACGACGACGGCACGGCACTCACAGCGCCCGGGCGCTGCTGGGGGTTGGGTGGGAGGACTGGCGATGTCGCTTCTGTGTCGACTCTGGGGGCCCACCGAACGCGACAGCACCGAGAGCTGCGACCAGGAAATCCCGATTATTCCGCCAATTAACGCAATTAAACGGCGAGACGGGATGAGGGTTGTCCGGGTGGAACTGGGCGTGGGGGGATGGGGGA